CTAAAGATCGATGTTACGGCATCGAGACCTGCCTCTGGCCACTGAATTCACAGAAAGCACAGAGCGCGTGAGAGGCTTCACAGTGCCCCAAAGGGCTATATCTCCGGCAGGGGTCTCCTGCTCGTAGGGATTGTCGCGAGCGAAGTAGATCAGGGCCTCCAGCATAGCTTCATCGTCGTCTGCTGATAACGGCTTGCCGTGGTCCAGCCTGTCCATGCCCTCGGTCTTGCGCTTCCTAGCACTGCGGTGCAGGGGGTCGTCCACGAGTCTCCAGCGCTGACCTGACCGGAAGAACTCTAGCAAGACCTTGGCGGCTCGATCCTTGGTGAGGCCGTCGGCTAGCATGGCATCGCTGTGAACCCAGCGTATCTGGAGGGCCGTCTGCTCCTTCTGCTGTCGAATGCCTAGACACTCGATGCTCGTCCGCTTGTCACGTAGGCCGAGACCAGCTGACTCGCTCTTCTCGATCGCGTCGTAGCCCGACTTACCGTCTGTGACCAGTACGCCAGGGCAGGATGAGATGGCGTCGTTCACGTGTTGCTTGTTGGTGTAGTCCACCTGGCCGCACTCTAACTCGTAGATGAACAGGCGCACGTAGCTGATCTCGTCGAGGGTCTCTGTCATCATTTGAACCTCCGCACTCGTACTGCTTCTGGCCACTCGAGGTAACTTGCATGATCTCCATGAGATAGGCGCTACCGTCTCTGTCGAGCCACTCAGGAAAGACAGTGGTGCCAGCACGATCATCTCGCCACCCTGGGACTCGCCAGTAATGCGAGCGGCCCAGGCAGCATCGCCCCAGCCAACCACAGCGATCTGCTCGATGGCCGGGATGAGCATGACTACGTCGGCAGTGTCATTCATGGTGCGGATCAGCTTGTTGATCTTCTGGATGGTAGAGACCGTCGCCGTAGGTATCTCCGCTTGGAGTAGAGAGACTTCTGCACTGAGCCACGGGGCCGACTGCTGAGCTCGCCATCCGACTGTACCAAGTCGGCCTCGTAGATCTGATCTCTCTTTGTCTGAAACTCCTTCCGTGGGCTTGCGTCCACGTCGTATCTTGATGGGCTCCACGTTCAGGCTGTAGCTGTCCTGTGCGAGACTGCAGGTGTAGTCCTCATTCTGTCGAATACTGATGCCGCACTGCACAAACGCTCGGCTCTCCCAAGGTGTCCACTCGAAGGCCTGTTGTATCTGCTGTCGTTTCTTGAGGAATGCCGAGTTGTGATGGTCGCCGGCGATCATCATGTCGTCGACGTGTAGGATAACCATGCCAACCAGCTTCGTGCCGTCTCGAATGACCCAGACGCACGGCTCGCACTGTATCACTTCCAGCTGCAGCGTCTTGAGCGTGTCCTTGAAATGGAGCCACCATTTGCGAGGAGCATGTACAAATCCGTACATAGGCTTGAGGAACTGCAGGACCTCGTCGTCTTTCATGCCGAAGGCCTGACGCACGTCCTTGGGCGGGTCCGCGTAGATCTTCCTCTTCTCCTCGTCCGTCTCGCCCTGGAGAAAGGCGGTCACTGCATCGGCCTTCTCCAGTTTCCACTTGTGTCTGGCTGCCATGGCCAGTAGAAGTTGACGTGCACGTCTGGAGGCAACGGGTGATTCTGTCCGTAGGTGCAGCAGGTCGGGGTCGCTGAAACCGAGCACGACCAGTCTGGCTTTGCCTCGTAGTACGTTCCCCTGGTCATCCTTCTTCCAGGTCAGCACGAAGCGACAGCGCAGCAGGCGCGCCGGGTCGATCCCCTGTCGGCTGAGGATCCTGACGGCCTTCGTGCTGAGGACTGAGGTGCACTCCTTCTGCTGGGCCTCGAGTAGCAGCTTCTTCTCCTCAGGCGTCGCCTTCTTAAATGAGACCTCCACTCGGCCCTTGCGGGCCTGCGATGCCACGAAGTTGCTGGGATCGTCCATGTAGGCCATGAACGCATGCTCGTTGCTGACAGGGATGTCCAGCACGATAAGTTCGTCGTTCTCCTTCATATCGTCGTACTGCTGGACACTGTAGGCATAGTCGCTGTAGAAGTTGCCCTCCTGCAGGTAGTAGGAGAAGGCCTCCTGGGTCGCAGCGTTGACCCGCTGCTTCTTAGCCGGGGGCTCGGTTGTGCCGGGCTCTCGGATCCGGCGCTTATCGTTCACGTCGGGCGCTGAGATATCGTCGAGGTCATCGTCAGTCTCCGCCACGATGGGCCGCTGCGACGCGCGCTCCTCCTGGTCGTCGCCGGGAGGGGCTTCCATGACGATCTCCTCCTCGATGGGCTGCTCAGCTGCCTCGGGTAGTCCAGCTTCGTGGCCGCCTTCCTGTGGAATGCCTGGGGGAACTTCTGGTTGAGCTGGCTGGATGAGAGGTTCCTGGACCTCGGTTGCCTCGTTCCAGGGATTACCCTTCCTCCTCATACGTCTGGGAGGTCGCGGTCCAGGTAGAGGTCGCTCTTCCAGTCCTGGTGGCGCCGCCAAGGCTCCACCACCTCCGCCGCCTCCGCCGCCTCCTGGGTCAAGACTACGAGGATCTCCTTGTGGTACAGGACGATCATCGTCTTCAGAAATGGCCCAGGGTCCGCTCGCGTTGCTCTCGAAGGTGCGGGCGCTGACCGATTCACCGTCATCAGCGGCCAAATCCTCGCCAGTGGGCGGGGACTCGTTCGATAAGTCGATCACTTCATTCGTGTCGAGCTGCTTCTGGACATCGCCGAAGGTCCAGGTCCCCGGCTGCTCGCGGCGCGAGCGTAGGGAGTCCATCGCCTCCTCAGAAGGCGTGGCAGGTCGAAGTTGTTCTGGAGCAACTCGGTAGAGGCGGCCAGCCAGTGTGATATTGACCACCGTCCCAGGTAGACCAGGTCGGTGTCCCGAGCTCGCTGGCTCGTGACAAAGTACTCGTCCAGGTCCGTACCAGCGTCCTCGCCCAGGCATTGAGCGAGGCTGTCCCTTCTTGCGCCAGGCCCCTGGTGGGAGCCGTCGGTAGACGAAAACCAGATCGCCCGTCTCGTACTTCTTGAAGGACCTGAAGCGCGCGGCCTCCGCTCGCTTGACTCGGTCAGAGTTCTCGGTCTGGATGTGAGCCAGCCGCGCCATTCGTCGTACCTGGGCGTCCCTGCTGAAGGTACCGTCCTGCAGCTCGGCACTGATGAGCGGCAGGTTGTTCGGCTCGTCCGACAGATTGACTGTCGTCCCAGTCGGCGTCCGTCCCGCATAGCGCTGCAGCGGGCTGAACCCGTCGATCCTGATCAGGTCGTTCCTGGCCGCCGTCTGGAGTCCGAACATCTCGCTGGTGGGTACTTCGGCTGAGACCATCTCGTCGAAAGCGTCGAGGGCCTCCTTGAAGGCTTCGATGGCACGCTCGATCTTGCCGATCTGCCAGTGGGCGTCGGCCGCGCATGGGAGACAGTAGACTCCCTGGCTCTCGATCCACTCGCGGAACTCGTCGGAGATGGCGCTGCCGGCAGGGTCGTAGCGCATGACCTTCGGGCGTCCCATCCAGGGGAACCATTTTGTAGCAAAAATATGCCGAAGGTCGCCTGCACGAACTTGCCGGGTAGTACCCGGGATCGGCTTCTCGTCGATCAGCCGCACGTAGAGGATGTCCGAGCCGGCGTCGAGTATCGCCAGCGCCATCACGTTCGTGTTCGTGCTGCGACGGATCCACGAGAAAGCGTCAAAAAGCACCTCGTGACCGTTTTGGGGCTGCTCTGCTGATGAGGCTGGTGGCCGCTTAGTAGGTGGTCGATGTGCGTCACATATGTCGCACTTGAAGGTTCTGGCCAAACGTAGCACCTCTGGCCGGGCGCCACGGTCGCGAAGGTATCGTAGTAGATGAGCTCGAGGTAGGTGTCCGAGGTTGGTATGAACCAATCTGATGTAGCTCTCGAGCTTCTTGACCGTCTCGTTGGTGAGGTTGTGCGCTTCCTTGCCGTCTCGTGGTGGGAGAGTCGGCTCGTCCTCCTCTGGCGTAGGCTCTGTCGGTGGCTGCTGGGTAGCTGCCATGCAGAGGCAGTTCACAACCTCGTCCTCGAAGTAGTTCTGGTTCTGGCTCTTGGTCAGAGCCCTGAGGATCCGGCGGCACAGCATCTTGGGGTAGGAGCCCGAGGCCTCGGTCCTCAAGCTGCTCTCTATCTCCTCGTGGTAGTGTCCTCCACGGCACTGTAGAGGTTGTAGGGCTACCCAGATCCTCCTGTCATTCGTCAAGAACTTCCAGCGCTTCTTCATGAGCTCGCCCGTGTCAGGGGCTCGTAGTCCGCAGGCGCAGCCATCCACGATCACCTCGTACGGTAGGATCTTGTGGAGATCCTTCCAGCAGGTCTTCTGCCACGAACGACTGTTGTGGGGCTGCTCGGCGAGGGCCGAGCCGTTCAGGTTGAGCACCTGGTGCTCGATGAGCCTCTTGTTGTTCTCGAAGATCCGCTGGCTCTTGAGCCGCTTCCTGCGAAGGTTCTCCTTCTGTTGATCGTTGCGCTGGTTGACGTTCTGCATTATCGACCATGGACCGCAGGGTGGTGTACTGACGAAGAGCTCCGGGCGCTTCTCGTCTAGCAGGAACTTCGCCTTGTGGTAGCCCTGCGGCTTGCTGAGGTCGTTCTCGTTGAAGAGGCCGAGCCGCTCGTAGTGGTAGCCCTTCTCGTCGCACACCTTCCCGAGATTCGAGTCCTCGTGGGTGCACGCTTCGACCATCGTCAGGCGGCCGAAGGTTGCGAGGGCGCACATGGCTCCGAAAATGGCCGACCTCGTCGTATGTGTAGCTGCCCGTATCGCCTGGCGCTGGTGGCCCTTCAGCGGCCTGCTCTCGTCGCCGCGCCACCGAGACCTCTCAGCCTGAATCTCACTCAGGCCTTCGTCCTGACCGCACACGCCTGGTGGCACCAACCGTAGAGCCTCATCTTCACGATCGGCTCGTTCTTGGCGATGCATCGGCGTAGCTTGCAGTCCGGATGCTGGCACATCTGAGTGTAGTGAGCTGAGATCGCCGGGCCCACGGGCATTGCCGTCGTCTCCATCTTCTTGGTCTCCGTCTCCTTCTTGATCTGGATAGTCGCTGCCGCCGTGCCGCGCTGCTCGATGATGTACGCGATGATCTTGTCGATCACCTCCTCCTTCTTGCCAGTCTGGGTCAGTCCCCACATCTTGCACAGCGGCTTGAGGTGATTGACCAATGTAACCATGCTGAGCTGCTCGTGGATCTGCTCCGAGCTCAGCGCTGCAAACGCATCCACCTCCGCAAACTTGGTCAAGAAATCTAACTTTGCGGTCTCGATGGTGGCTCGCAGCTCTTGATTCTGCTCGCGCGCGGCTGCGGAGGCTGCTGACTTCTGGGACAGGGGGCGCTGCTTCGGCTCCGTGCACGGCTGGCGCGGCTCGATCTTCGCACGATGCTCGATGTCTGCCGGCCAGGTCGGGTACCTCTCGGGTAGCAACTGCACAGGTAGTCCGAGGCTGTCCAGCTTCCAGTTCACACGATCGATCGTCTTGATGAAGACCTTCTGGATGATTCGTCCCCAGCGACGGCACTGCGTCCACTGCTGGAGAAGCTTGCTGGACCACATCTCCCAGTTCGGTAGATGCTCCTGCAGGAAGGTGTCCGTCATCCGCTTCGTGCTGTTGTCCTGCTCCGAGCCCTCGATCGTGTAGAAGATGTGGCCCCTCGCGTCCTGATGAGCGATCAGTCGCCCCTGCGGCTGCATCCGTTGTAGTGTAGGCCGTGCCGGCGTCGACGTGGAGGTCGCCGCCGATGATCCCGAGTCCCGTAGCAGGGCCCGAACATCCACCTGCTCCCAAGGGCCGTCCATTTCCTCGTTCTCCAGCTTGATCTGCTGGCTCTCTGCTTTGCGACATTTCGCCTCGCGGTTGAGGCTCATGCGAATATGTAGGGCCAGCTGGATGTTGTCGGAGCTCAGGGCTCGAATATGGAAGTATTACTGGTTGCTGAAATCGGAGCTCTGAGCTCGAATCGTTCGCACCAAAAATGGCTCTGGGAGACGGGGATGTTTCTGTTTGGAGCTCTGGAAACTCTGGGATCTCAGGGAAGGCCTCTGGAGATAACCCCGATAATGCCGTAGGTGATGGAGCCGGGGCTGATACGGATGATGTCCCGGACGTAATTGATGATGTCCCCGACGTAATCAATGATGTCCCCGTACTGGTAAATGATGATGATGTTGCTGTAGACGTAATTGGTGATGGTGCCCCCGTACTCGTAAATGATGATGATGTACATGAGGCCTGTAGGGCTCCATTCTCTGGGACCTCGTCGGGGAACTCCTGGGGCACCACTGCAGACGGTTTATCGTTCTCGCTTTGGATCGGCTGCTCTTTTTCATGTTTTCCCTCCGGCACCGTAGCAGTCTCGGGTGTCGAGGGCGTGGACCCCTACTCGAGAGATGCCACGAAGCCAAAATCGGCTTGTCGAACAAGGGGCAGTGCAAGATGACCGCTCGGAAGGACGAGCAGTTCAGCTCGGCGCCCGAGCTTCTTGAAGTAGACAGAATGTGCCTCGCAGTCGATCACAGCTCCTAGGCGGCTCAAAACATCCACTCCGATCAAGAGCGGGGCATCTGCGTCGAGGATGTTTATCTCGAGCTCGCCGTCCACACCTGCGATCCTCAGAGGAAAGGTTGCCTTGCCGGTGCAGGTCTTGGCGTTGCCATCTCCAAAGATAAAGGTACTCTTCTGGCTAACGTCCATCTTGATGTTCTTGCCCGTCTGCTCATAGATGATATCGCGTAGGTTCTCGGCAGCCTCGATGCCCATGATGCTGGAGGTCGCGCCGATGTCCAGAATACCGAAGCCCTTGGAGGAGCTCTGCTTCACACTCATGAGGATCCAGTCGTCTAGCTTCTCCAGGGTTGGCCAGCTCGGTAGCTTCACATGATGGACTTGCTCCTGCCTCTCGATGGATTTCTCCACCTCTAGGTACTTCGTCTTCTCGAGCTGTTTCTTCGGAAGCTTCGGTCGATTCTTGATCACTGGCTTATTGTTGAGCGTCGTCTCCAGCTCCAGGCGCGAGGTCTCGTTCCTGATGAGATTCGCCTCCATCTCGGCGTCCTGCTCGGCGCCGAAGAACACGTAGGCTCCGAAACCTCGCTTGGGTCGTTCACGATCTTTGCTGCTGGTGGAGGAAGCGCGGTCTTTATGATCCTTCGTCTCGTGATTGCCGCCACACTTCAGACAGGGTCCCTTACGGGGCGGCCGGCCCTGGGAGCGATCTCCATCACGTCGGGGTGGTACATCACGTCGTTGTCCGCTCCCTCGGCCTCGTCCTTTCGATGATCCAGAGCCTCGGGATCCAGCTCGAGGTCCCTGGAGCTTGCGCTGTCCTCCGCGTCCTTCTCGCTTCTTGTTCTCATCCACGGGGTAGAACTTCCTGGCGGTCTTAACTCGTCGGAGTAGATCCCGAGCTTCTTCGAAACTGCGCTGCTGGGCGGCGAACGCGGTCTCGGCCTCCTCGATCTCCTGGGCGCTGTAGAGCGGCTCCTCGGGATCTCCTTCGTCCTCGTCGCCGTCCGCATCCTCATAGGTGGCCTCCGACTGGTCGCCATCGTAGTAGCTGTAGTCGTCGTCGTCCTCGCTGTTCTCCTCCCAGCCGGCGTGGATCCGACCTCGCTCGCGATGGCGATGGTTGTCCTTGCCGTGCTTCTTATCTCTATTCGTCAGCTCGTCATCTGGCCAAGATACTCTTAGCTGCTCGCCGATGCTGTCGTAGTCGAAGTTGCCTTTGACTGCGCTGATAACTGCCGCACGCTCCGTCGGGGAAAGTCTTGATCTCTGCAGCAGTAGCCATCCGCGCAGCTGGTCAAGGGGAATCGCCTGTTTGAAGTCGGTTCCGAAATCGGGATGCTCGGGGATCTCCTCAAGACCTGTCCGGATGAAGCTCCAGAGCTGGTGGTTCAACTCCTTGGCCTTGTCGGCGGCGTCCTCCGGGCCCTCCTGCTCGATCTTGTACAGGAACCAGTTGAGCTCCGAGTAGAGGGCGTTCCATTCTTTTGACCTTGCCGACAGCCGAGCCGTGCGCTGCTTCTTGAAATACTCGGTGTCGAAACCCTTGACCACGTCGTGGTAGGCCTCATCGTCTCTGCTGATGTAGCTCGGCATTGGCTCTCCAGTGTCTCGACGAAGATCGAAGATCCATCTGGCCAGATATTTGCCTGCATCCTGGATGGGCTGAGCACCGAGCTTGGCGCGAATGTGTCGCAGTAGCTCAGCTGCACCGTCGTCTCTCTCAATGCGGTCCCAGTCCACATCCTTGGCTGCTTGTCGTGCTCGACCTTCTAGTCGTCTCCACAAACGAGGGCCGCATACATATCGTTCATCTCGACGGGTGCCTCGGATGTAAGCTTTGACATCCCTCTCGTAATCGTCCACCGTGGTGAGATCTCCGTTCCACTTCGGTATGATGTCATCGTTGTTATTGTTATTCCTCGTCATGACTCAAACGATGAACTTCTATCCGTGAATCTGTTGTCCGTGGAGCTTGATAGCTCCGCTACCATGCAATGGTCCCGCTTAGAACCACTGCCCTGATCGTAATCCTTGTTGATGCTACTCTCTTCTCTCCTCTGACACGTGCCGAGGGTACTGTGGCGTTCGGGTCGAATCTGAGGGCAGTGCTGGTGCGATGCTGATCGCACGGTGGTGCTGAACAGGATCTGTTTATCAGCGGGCAGTTCGCTGTCCTGCGTCTCTCGGACGCACACCAGAAGTCCAGCGTCGCTGAGACGCTGCAAAGGCTTGAGCCAGAACGGTTTCGGATGAACCTGTTCTGGGATATTATAATGGGGATCTCGAGGGATCTCGGAGGGCCTACTAAGCAAGGCTAGCTGCAGTCTGGAGGCTAAAGGGGGCCCGATTCGCCGGGAAACGCTTGACTAACATACATGGGGCTCCTTTGGAGCCTGAAGCTTATATCACGCACGGCCTCTAGAGGCCATCTGTCGTAAGTAGGCTCTAGTGAGGCAGGCTCGGGGCTGTGAATTGCAGGGGGAGGGGGTAGGAGGAGGGGTAAACCCCTCCCCGAAGGGGAAGAAGGGGGGTTGAGAACAGAGAGAGCTCCCTAAACCACTCACGCCCAAAGGGCTGGTGGGATTATTGTTTCGCCACTCACAGCGCAAATCATCGTCCTCCCTCCTTCTTGCCCCTCCCCTCCCTTCCTCCGATCCCTTCGTCCTCATTCTCCCCCGTTATCTGTTACCCTTCGTTTTCAGTGGCTTCACCAATCACACATTGTTGTTGTTGTTGTTGTTGTTGTTGTTGTTGTTGTTGTTGTTGAACATTATTTATTCTAAAGAATAATTATTGTTGGGCCCCCTGGTGCGCGCCCCCCCTGCGCCGCCTAGGCCGCAGCTACATTTTCATCATTTTCGTGAGGAAGCCTCAGGTAAAACGATGTGATCCAGATCCGGTTGTTTTGTTGTAATCCGTTTTCCCTTGCAAAAAACACTATAAAATGACATTTCTTGTTCTAATATAATCAAATTTCAAGAATCCCTTGCAAAAAATAAGGTAAAGTGGACATTCGCGCGCGCAAGACGAAATCCTTCCAAAAGCTTAGTGTTCGGAGCGATTTTAACATAAAAACATCAAAAAACCAATGGTTTTTCAACAAAAAAATGTCAAAATCTCATCCCGCGCGCTCTTGCGGATTCGTAGGAAACCCAACACTTTTTAAACATTTCTGTCAAACGGGCTTTTGCGAGCAACTTTTTCGAACTTCTGCGACAACGGTTGCGCACCTGCCAGGGCCATCATCCCTGTCAAATAATACCATGCGGGACACATTCGTTTTTTCTTCGCGCGCGCACGCCGTCGTCGTCGGCCGCGGGGCCCTGAATAGTAGCCACGGTCGTCCGCATGCCACGAAGTGAAGTGTCCGAACGTCATAGGGCGGGAAGCTGGGTGTGGGTGGTGGCGAAGAGTCGTTTGGAAATTTGGTAGAGCTTGAACCGGCCCCCCCACAAAGTGGGGGTATTGCCCGCCTCCTATGAAAACCCTGGCACTGGTGAGAACGGAGTGTCCCCACGTGCTAGTAATTGTTGTTGTTGTTGTTGTTGTTGTTGTTGTCGTTGTTGTTGTGGTTGAATTCTCATTTCTGAAAATTAATTATTGTTGATCCCCCCACCGGTGCATAGTGTTTTTTCTCTATCAGAGTGTGGCCCTCGACGCTCGCACCCGGTTTTTGACAGGGAAAGTCTTCCTGCTCAAACTGGCCCCCTGGCCCCCGGGTTACAACAACAACGGCTCCCGCCTAAGACTTCTTTACAATTTAGCCAGAACCCCGTTCCCGCCCGAGACTTCCTTGCATTTTATTCAGGAATCGCTTTCTCGCTTGGGACTTCCATACAATTTATAAAGGAATCGTTCTCCCGGCGCTCTGGAGTCGCGCTCTCGTTGGAGACTTGCTTGCAACTTACTGAAGAATGGCCTTCCGTTAGAATTTCCTGCAATTTGCCCAAGCGCCGCGCTCCCGACACCCAGGCACCCAGGAGTCGCGCCCGTTGTGGCCCCATGTGCATGCCCTTCGTGGCCCCGCTGTCGCCATTTGTGTCCCCCTCACTGTCCTACGTGGCCCAGTTGCTACCCTCAGTGGCCCCATAGTTGCCTTCTGTGGCCCCGCATTATCTGCACTTCGTGGCCCCCGCTCGTTCGCGCTCTTCGTGGCCCCATACGCATTCCCTTCGTGTCCCCGCTGTCGCCCTTCGTGGCCTACTTCGTGCCCTTCGTGGCCCTGCTGTCGTTCTCTCTCGCTCTCGCTTTCGCTCGTCGTCGCCGTCGTCGTCGTCGTCGTCCGTCGTGTCTTCGACGTCGTCGTCGTCGTCGTCGTCGTCGTCGTCGTCGTCGTCGGTCCCCTGTCCGTCCCTCTTGGGGTCGGGTCGACGGTCCGCGGCCGCTCCGCCGATCAGCGCTGCCGCTGGCCAGGCCGACGGTCCGCGGCCGCCCCGCCGCTTGCCGGGGCCCGGCCTGCAGGGAAGAAAGGTATACCCCCCAAAAGGGGTTCGATCGAAGACGAAGAGGGCGGGTATCGAGGGTTTGGGAAATACGCGTTATTGGACACTCGAGCATATAAGGGCGAACAGTCTTAAAATTATTGTTGTAATTATTGTTGAACTTTCATGTCTGAAGAGTAATGGTGTTGATCCCCCTCACCCTCGACGCTCGCACCTGGTCTTTTGTCAGGGAAAGTCTTCCTGCTCAAACTGGGCCCCGGGCCCCCCGGATTACAACAACAACGGCTCCCGCCTGAGACGTCCTCCAGATTTACTCAGGACCCCCGCTCCTGAGACTTCCTCCCGATTAGCTCAGGATCGGTGCTCCCGCCTGTGATTTCCTCGCAATTTAGTCAGGACCCCCGTTCCCATCTGAGACCTCTTCACAATTTTCTCAGGAACGGCGCTCCCGCTTGAGACTTCCTCGCAATTGAGTTAAGACATCCTCGCAGTTTAATGAAGACCCCCGCTCCCGCCAGAGAGCCCTTCACATTTTATTCAGGAATTGCGCTCTTGCCTGTAACTTCCATGCAATGTATTGAAAAGGTCGCGCTTTCGACGCTCAGGAAACACGCTGCGCCAAGGACGCCGTTACAATTTACTTAGCCTCTCTTTCCTCTCTTCTCCCTCCCCTCTCCTGCCTCCTCCCTCCTTCTTTCTTTTTCTCTCTCCCCTCTCTCTCTCTCTTTCTCTACCTCTCTTATCTGCCTTTCTCTTTCTCTCTCTGCCTCTAATCAACCGCCCCTCTCTCCGCTCCTTCTCTCCTGGCGTTTTCCCTCTTCCTTCGTCCCTCCCCCTCCATTCCTCCCACTCTCCCTCGTTCCCCCCCTCCTCCTTTTGCAGGGCCCACACCAATTCCAATGGCGGGCACATGTACGCCCACGAAGGATTGTCCGCCCGCTCAGGTTTGCCCGCCTGTCTAAACCCGCCGCCCCCCGCAAAGAGAAATACTTCCCCCCAAAGGGAGTGTTATCGAAGACAACAAGGGCGGGTATCGAGGGTGTGGGGCACTCGTTTTGAATGACACACGGGCAAATACGAGCGAACAGTGTTAGAATGATTGTTGTTGTTGTCGTTGTTGTCGTCCTTGTTGTCGTTGTTGTTGCTGCTGCTGTGGTTGTTGTTGTTAGTGTTGTTGTTGTTGTTGCTGCTGTTGCTGCTGCTGCCGCTGTTGAACATTATTAATTCTAAATAATAATTATTGTTGGGACCCCTGGTGCACGGCCCCCCTGCGCCGCCTAGGCCGCAGCTACATTTTCATCATTTTCGTGAGGAAGCCTCAGGTAATACGATGTCATCAAGATCCGGTTGTTTTGTTGTAGTCCGTTTTCCCTTGCAAAAAACACTATAAAATGACATTTCTTGTTCTAATATAATCAAATTTCAAGAATCCCTTGCAAAAAATAAGGTAAAGTGGACATTCGCGCGCGCAAGACGAAATCCTTCCAAAACCTTAGTGTTCGCAGCGATTTTAACATAAAAACATCAAAAAACCAATGGTTTTTCAACAAAAAAATGTCAAAATCTCATCCCGCGCGCTCTTGCGGATTCGTAGGAAACCCAACACTTTTTAAACATTTCTGTCAAACGGGCTTTTGCGAGCAACTTTTTCGAACTTCTGCGACAACGGTTGCGCACCTGCCAGGGCCATCATCCCTGTCAAATAATACCATGCGGGACACATTCGTTTTTTCTTCGCGCGCGCACGCCGAAATCTCCAAAAACCATTGGGCTTCTTAAGAATTTTAGCACCGCGCATCATAAAATCACACGAATCGCACCGTAGGTCCTCGAAAAACACCTGCACGACTTTTCAAAATTTCTACCCGCGCGCGCTGTCCGAATCCTAAAAAAACCAATGGTTTTCCAACATTTATGTTACATGAGCTCGCGCGAGCTACTTTCGCACGCTCTTGCAACGGGGTTCGCGCGCCTGCCAGGGGCCACAATCCCTTGCGGTTGCGCCATAGGTTGCGCCCTCGGATGTTCTGTGGAAGGCTTAACAACTTCTGTGGGTTAACAAGGCTTAAGAACTTCTGTGGGTGTACGAACGTAGGCTTAACAACTTCTGTGGGTGTGTACTCCACGCCAGTGTAGTAGCCACGGTCGTCCGCAGGCCACGAAGTGAAGTGTCCGAACGTCATAGGGCGGGAAGCTGGGTGTGGGTGGTGGCGAAGAGTCGTGTGGATATTTGGTAGAGCTTGCACTGCCCCCCCACAAAGTGGGGGTATTGGCTGGCGTCGCATGAGAACCCTGGCACTGGTGAGAACACTGAGCGTTCGGGT